AAAAAAAACCCCCGCTTTGAACCCCACCTTTTTTTCCCCCCCCCCCCCCCCCCAAAGCTTTTACTTTTACACCGCAGATTTATTTGACCAACTATTTCAGAAAAATAAGAGTAAATATTACGCACCAAACCCAGTTGCGATTTAAATAATAAATACTGGATGAAAATCATATTAAATGTAAACTCAAGAATGACCTCAAGCTTTGCTCCTTAAAATAGGATTAGTATTGCAGTGTAAAATTAAATAGGGCCAGTATCGCTACATAAAATATTACCAGCACGGCTGTGTAAAATACCAGTATGGGAGTTTAAAATACAACCAGTATGGCTGTGTAAAATATTAACAGTATGGTTGTGTAAAATATCACCAGTATTGCTGTGTAAAATATGACCAGTATTGCTGTGTAATATTAATATAGGACTTAAGACTGGAATGGGTGTTTCAAATTTTCTTAATGAATTTCATATAATTGAATAACTCTATTTCCATATTTGAAAAGGACTTATTCTGTTTTCGGTGAGAATTGTGTAGAAAACTAGTAGAAGAGTTGCCATCTTTATAAAACTGAAATTAAAAAATAGTAAAGTAACCAAAAAACTCTATTCAAAACGAACACATGTGGAAGTTGAGGATATTTTTACTTTTAATCAAGCAGGTGAACAAGTGAACAAATCCTCTTCGAAAAAGTTTAGTCATCATTAAATAGTGGAACAAACTGGCATTGTTGACACAAATCTGCCTCTTAAATGGGATAGAGCAGGACAGCTTTGAAACATGATTAAAAATAAATCATTTGTGAGACTCATCTAAGACTTTTCTGAAAAAATCACGAGGCACTTTAATTCGTCATACAGAGACAACATCATCTCAAAGTCTACAGTATCACAACCCGTTGAACTGCTGTATCCTGACCATCATGGATTCACAGGGTTAAATTTGACTGAAATCACAAGTGCTAAAAAAAAAAATGTTTTCTCATTACATCATGTCTCAAATGTAACAATAATGTTAAATAATAATAATATCATATAAATATCTCAAGATATTTGATCTGCACACAATTAAAAAGATAAAACAGCACAAATTATTTCATGATAGACATAGATTTTCATTTTTTGTCCAGGGCTGGCTGCAATGGTACCACCAGACTGTCCAGTTCTCGCTTGTGTCCGGTCTCTGACAGCCAAATCTGTCAATGAATAAGTCATGATGTGAATGAAGTAAGCACAGTGCACTGGTTAGCACAAACTGGACCAGTTTTTTTTTTTTTTTTTAAAAGGGGCAGAACACATTCAGTAGTTACCTAGGAAGTAAACTTTAGATAATTTTATAAAGATTCATTTTAAAACTTTTAATTGTAATGCTATTTTTGTGCAGTACTTGGAATGAATTTTTTTCATTTTAAAAAAGCATCTATATATTGGCTACTTCATTTTGGTTTCTTAAATGAAGTAAGCACAGTGCACTGGTTAGCACAAACTGGACCAGTTTTTTTTTTTTTTTTTTAAAAGGGGCAGAACACATTCAGTAGTTACCTAGGAAGTAAACTTTAGATAATGTTATAAAGATTCATTTTAAAACTTTTAATTGTAATGCTAATTTTGTGCAGTACTTGGAATGAATTTTTTGCATTCTTAAAAAGCAGCTATATACTGGCTACATCAATTTGGTTTCTTTCAAACTTGAATTTATTGTTACATACCATAATAAAAAAATTAAATCTGCAAAAAATGTGTATGTTTTTTGCTTAGGGAGGATGAAAAGACAAATTAATTCTGACATAATACTGACTAATGAATCAGTCTATATAATAGCTAAAACAAAAAAATTTAAACAAACAATATTTATAAATCTTATAAAATAATTGCTTCCTGAAATGACCCACTTTACAAAAGGAAAATGGTAAAGCAGTTGACCTATTGTCAGTGAATGGCAAAACTTCAAATAATAGTTTGTTTGGTAACTGTGAAATGTGCGACTTACGTGAAATCTGGATTCTACCAGTGTCTGAAACTCTTTCCTTTGCTCACGGGACAGGCCGGCTTCTTTAACCATATGCTGCCAAGTGTCAATTTGTTTTTGCCTTTTGTTGAGCTCTTTCTGGTAATAAGTGGGCAGGCTCCCTGGTATCACCTGTACAACAATTACATGTATAAAAGATGATGTCATTTCCTAATTTCTTTCACAGCCAACCTAAAAAATTGTTTAATGTACTTTTGTACTTTTAGTGTATTTACATGTTTCTTTGTGCCTTCATAACAATGTTTGATTAAGTTAAAGAAAGGCATAGGTTTAGGTTTTCAACTTTGGGTACAACAGCCTCCATGAAGTCTGAGGTTAACAACAGTCTTATGATGATGAAAAATCCAGATGCAGCACATTACCTTGGTAGATCCTTGCATTTCAAATGGTACAGAGAAGGGGTAAAACTCTGACTCTGGGAGTATCTGCCAGACTGGCTGCTCATCCCTGTGATCAGGTCCTGGGATTGGTACGGGAATAAATACAAAAAAATGACCTTATGGCATGAGTTGTAAGTGGGGAAAAAAAATGGGTGGCATCAGATAATATTGATACCTTTTTCAATGTAAATCGAGTTCCAAGGATTTAAAGTATGACTGGCTTGCATCCTTGTCGTATCAATTGGGTAAAACACTCTTCAAACATAATTAGTCCAAATATGAAACAAGCCTGAAGATTTCTATGACCCTGATTACACACCTATGCACAGCGGCTGATCCCAGAGGTTGGGCACTGTGCCAATGCCAGCCTTCAACATATGCTCCTCCAAGGTAGGGTAGAAGGTGTGGTAAGGTGCTAGCATGATGGTGTCGTTCCCGCTCAGCAGCATGGGTCGATGGGGTGTCAGAAGGTACAGCGTGCACAGTGTGGATCCACTAGGGGGTGGGATGGGGGCATCATTTATGAAAATAACATTTTAAAAAACAGAAAACATCACACATTGATTGTTGAGCACCAAAATATAAAGATTTAATGTTACTCTCTGCTGGTATCAGGGTAGGTCGCTCAGAATACTTAGAGCTAAAAAAAATCTTGTTATAACTTGTGTGAATATCATTTGCTAAGAAGAGTATTTTTCTCTTTTAAGACACAATCAGCTTCAAGGCCAAAGTAAAAAAAAAATTCATGGTGTGTATGCTCAAGGCACATAAGTAACAATTTAAACACACAAAACAAAACGTAACTAAACATGTTGTAAAAAGTTTTCATAACTATGTGCACTTGGCTTATTTTCTTTATAAAAATATTCCATAATATTCCCATCTTTAAAAATGGCCACATTTCCTACAGACCTGATCATGAAGCTACGGCAAGGGGCAATTACTGTGACGTTCTCACAGCCGCTGACATGAACAGTTGCCTCCACCGGTCCGAGGATCAGAGTTGTGTTCCTGCACTTCTCAATAGTTACAGACCTGGCAGAGGCAATCAATCATTTGTATTTACTTAGTTTACATGTTTTAATAATTGTAAAGCGCTTAGAGCTTTATGATAAGCGCTATATAAAAATGCCTAAATAAATAAATAACAACTTTGGAATAGGCAAAAATCTTTCACATAATCTAATGAGCTTGCGGATTTAACTAAGGGCAAAGCTAGTTTGAAACAGAGTCAATGGAAATGCCCATGTTGGTTTGACTTTAAACTGGACTTTGGTTTTCAAGTTGACTTTGACTGGTATTGACATAAAAAAAATCAATGTGTAAAGGTAATAGGAAAAAACAACATTTCAATTTATTTGATTAATAAAAGAATCGTATGACTATGTAAAACAAAAGACACATTCGCAAGGGCGATGACAGCAATGTTTATCTCTCAAAACCACATTCGTCTGTTAGTTTTTGTGAAACAGGGGAAGTGTTACCTGAGTGGAGAGAGAAGGTACAGGAATGAATGATGGCTGCGATGGATTTTGACTGTGCTCATTTCCAAAGTGCCGGAGCTCTGTGTGAAATAGTATTTAATTTGATTTGGAGTTTCCTGAATGTTTGGACATCATTCGTTTGAATGAGTTCTTTTTGTATTTCTACCATTTCAGTTCCACCAACTACTGTCCAAAGCAGAGGCGTAGCGAGGGGAGGGCAGGGGGGGGACAGATGTCCCTGGGCGCATTCTAGTTAGGGGCGCCAAAATGTGCTTTGATATTATATTATTGATGAAAATAATGGGTTTAAGAGTTTAAAAAAAAGAAAAAGGGGCGCTTTACAATGGATCTTGTCCCCGGGCGTGAATTTTGTCCCCCGGCGCCAAACACCCTCGCTACGCCTCTGGTCCAAAGACACCTCTTAATGTATGAAAGCAGTTTAATGAAGAGAAAAATGGAGAAAAAAAAAATTTCATTAAATTTCTATTTGCAATTTCCTAATTCTGCTCCCAGATTTTATATAATCTGAGGAACTTTGTGTTTAATTCATTAATTAATGAATTTGTGCTATACACATTGATATACTGCTTTAAAAACTATATGTTTTAGTGTTTCCATTTGTGCAGACCTGATTACACTGGAATCCCAAAATAGTACTATGTAGCCTCAGGATAGTACGATACCAACCATATTGTAATAGTAAATCAATAAACATAGAGAGCAGCACATGTCAAATTAAGTTCACCTCTCAAAGTAGATGACTGTTGATTATATATTGCACTGTTGAAAACAAAAAGGTTCCCATCATTTGCCGCTTTGATATACGAAGATGTGGTTGGGCGGGGCGGGGGGGGGGGGGGGGGGGGGGGGGGGGGGGGGGGGGGGGGCAGGAAATTGAGGGCGCCAGCCGAAGTCACCCGAGCAGAGGTGGGAGGAGGCTGAGCCCCTTCCGTGAATTTTTTTTTATAAATTCAAAATGCAGGGATGCACTTTTGTGTATACCTGAATATAGTTTTGCATTATTCTACATTTAATTGTAATGGTTGAGGAAAATTAGTTTCCCCTTACCTAGCAGTGTTTATATAAATCCTTTTCATTTTTCTTAGTTACTAAACAGTAAAACTGTTTTATAATTTATTAATATTTCAATCTTTTTGTTTTAATCTGGCTAAAAAGGAGCGAGGAAAACTGAAATGGTGTGTACCGGTACCATCTCAAAAAATGATACATTTATATTTCAGATGCGCGTTTATGCCAAAATGAAAATAATCCTGAATTGAATGAAGAAATAGGTTCATTTGTAATGCGGGCCACAATATGTAACGTGGTGGGTTATAAAAGACATTTCAAAATGGTACATTGTATGTCAAAACCGTTTAAGTAAACGGGTCTGCAAATTGAGAACTAAGACAAATACGATTAATGAAATGGTTTAAGTTCGATTTTGGCAGATGAACTATTTATATATACATATAAAAAACCATTTATTAAAAATTATAGGTTTGGTGTTTCATGCTTATCCAGGCTATTATGTACCATTTAAAAACTATGTTATAAGTTACCCTGTCTATTATTTACCATTTAAAACTATGTGACATATACATAAGTGTATTTAAAGTTATCCTGGCTGTAATATACCATTTAAAAACTATATATTTTAAGTTCCAAACTTACCCGACTATTATTATATCATATAAAAAATTACATTTTGAGTTCAAAACTTACTCTGGCTATTATATACCCGGTACCATTTAAAAACTATACATTTTGAGTTCCAAGCTTACCCTGGCTGTATTATACTATTTAAAAACTATAGATTTTGAGTTTGAAGCTTACCCTGGCTATGGTTTGTTTGCTGACTTGACTCATGATGATCATCTTGTTACTATAGGAAATTTTTGTTAAAAAATATAAGAAAATATCTATTGAACATAAACTGCAACAAAAACAATTTACACAGTCATTAAGTTAGGGTTCTCTGGTTGTGTAATTAAAATACTGATATCCTGCATTTTTTTTATATAGTAAGCTATATGAAATATAAAAAATACAAAATAAAAGGAAAAGCAAGGTATTATATGAAAAAAGTTCTTGGTGAAGAATGAATGTTCCTTGTAAAAAAAAAAAAAAAGAAAAGTGTTATCTCGGTATTGTTAATGTAGCAATCTGTTTTCACCATCACAGTAGGAGTTTATTTTAAAACTTGGCCTACACTAGGGTTTAGCAGAGCACTGGTTGAGAAACGCGAATCTAAAGTGATTATGACAAACAGCATTGCTTCCGTGACTTCTCTACATTTCTCAAAATGTGTCAAACACACATTTGAATTACCCTTTTACATATTCCTTAGGAACGGATGGCGCATTTGTTGCAATTTTTCCTCTCTTGTGACTTTGGTCAGATTTCTGATCTTCCCCTGGAAAAAAAACAATAATTTAAACCTTTTATTATAACTAGAACTCTGAAGATCTGAAGCTTGCCATCAGTAAACACAGTACAAAGTGAAGCTAAATTTTATTCATGTATTTGTGGTGGATGGTGGTCAGGTACAGAATAATGAATATATATTTATAGGTAATTTCTTAGAAAAAACCATTCACATTTCTTTTTTTAGGAGAATTCATTCTAAAATATCTTGTACAGTGAGCAAAGAATTTCTACGTGGAGACCTATCTATCCAGCTCACCTATAAAAGGCCAAGACAGTCTTGTCCCAGAGGCTATGCAGGCTGATACGTTGAAAGGGTTTTGAACCAGGCACTCTTTCAACCACATGGTGAACTGACGTGTTGGAAATGTCTTGGTTGCCTGTGGAATTTTAAAAATATTTTGAATGTTTAAAAAAAAAAAAAAAATACGTTTGTTCAAGATTGATTGAGATGATTGATACTTTGTGTTTGGCTTAATTAATATGCTTTTTTTGTTTTTTTTGCAGTGAATGACTCGGTTCGTGGGAAATTTCAGAATTTACAGAATTTATAGAGGAGGTTCCTGGTGTTTATCAATATAAAAATGGCTTGGAAAGCCCCATGGACACCTGGAGGGCCTTCAGACGATGGCCTACTTCGCAAGAGCTGCGGGAATGAGTGTCTGATGGAATGGAGGGTAATTGGCTTCGTTTGTCTTACTGCGGTGTTCAGGTTATAAGTCTGTAGTTTCAAAATGGTTATCTCCCATGTGATGCCCACAGCCGTAAGGGAGACCACTCTCCTCTAAACAGATTGATATCCATGCCCACAATGGATTTGTCTGTTTCCATGTTTTCCTCATCATTTACAATAGTGTTCAATGTTTGAAATAAAGTTCATGTATGTTCAGCAGTCAGGTTTAAGTGCTATTGGTTAAAGCCACTCACTATATCTCAACTTTTAAAAATATTTTGTAGGTCTGGAAAGAGTCTGGGCATTTTTTCGCTTTCAAAGTAACCAAATGTGGTTGCATGTAAGTGGACTGTGACCAGATGTGATACATTTGTGAGCAGACATCAGTGGCTCATGGTAAGGTACTGATTAATATAAGAACATTTTAACAGTTGTTATAGATTTGAACAGAGACCTTTTGATAACCTGATAGTTGCTGTACTGTCTGCAGACAAGCAAGGTCATGAAGCTGCATCAAAGACCTATCGTCAGAAATAAACAAAAGACCATCAACATTTGTGTACTCAATCAGTTACACTTACTCACATATTTTATGGACAGAGCGTAACAAAAAAGCTGTAAGTTCCTTTTCATGATTTTAAACGAAATTATTTTGAGAAAAGAATTTGACATATTATTAGTTCATAAGTTATTAGACATGAATCTGGCATACTTCTAAATATTACATATATTACATATAGCAATGAAATAGCAGAGACTTACAGAGTCATCTGTGACCTTCTATATATTACATCCATCAATGAAATTATCTGTGTACTTCTACTTCTAGATATTACAGATATCAAGGATATTATCTGTGTGATTCGAGATATTAGATACATCAAAGATATTATCTGTGTACTTTTAGAGATTACTTTTATCAATCAAACAACAGAGGCTTACGGAGAGTTTTCTGTCCTGCCAATCAACACAAAGCCAAGTGCCTCCACAGCATCCAGGGACAAATGTTTGGGGGAAGAAGTCCCTCCCACAGCTAAAGGTTGGAATTATTTTGTACAATTATGTTCAGCATCTCTTATTTTGTTTTCACATTCTTTACATATATTTGTAAAGATAATTTTTTCTATCAGAACCCATGGCCTCTATGATATCAACACCAGGCTTAAGGATATAAGGATATACTAATGAAGGAAGGGAGTTAAAATGCTGCACATGTGATTTGTATTTTTTGGACAGTGTGAATACTTTTGTTGAGCAGATGAAGTCTTTTTGGAACTATTCAGCAAGCGTGGATTTTTTTTTTTTTTAAGGTCAACAATAAAATAATCCTTTAACATAATTATTTAGTCAGCCAGTGATGATGATTGCATCTCTACAAACAGCACAGTAAAATGATTTTTACTGATTTTTTTTATTGAGTATCAGTTTAGGCCCGAGATCAGGTCTAAAATAATTAACACCCTAATCAAATTGTAAAAATATTCTTCATGTCTTACCTTCGTCTGAGATCAGGTCTGTGAGCTCTCCAATGTTGTTCTGTATAAACAGATGGTGACTGTGGTCATCAAGAGACTGGGGATAAAGCCGTGGGTTAATCTTATGGTCATTATCTTATATAACTTGATACATTTTTTAAAAAAATTGATAAAATTTGTGCATTTCTGAACTTTGGTTACATCTAAATTAGCCGAGACACAGTAAAGAGTTTTAAAAAATATCTAATATAAAAACTTGCAAAAACATTAAAGCCTGCATAGCTCATTGTGACTGCTTTAGACAAGCATTGATAGCAACAAGTCCTTAACTCTAAGGGTTAACTAGTTTTTTTTTGGGATGTCACACTTGCCCTGGTTACGCACAAATTGTTTATGGTTATGAACCATTACATAACTAATTTTTCTTTGCCCGTAATCATACATATTACAGTATCTTTTGTAGTGCATTCTAAATTATCTCCTATGTGATAAAAGGACTTAATGAAAAGATGGGAGCGTCATTTGTCAGTTGAATCAATGTACAGGTATAATATGGGTGATCAGCTTCTATAGTAAAATTAAAATGAGCAAAACAAAGGTTTCCCAAGTACTTTGTTTCGCCCGTTTCATTTTATCTAACCTGATTGAAGCCTCTTACCCTTATTACCAGAGGGTAATATTATAGCAGTGAATATTTTCTTACTTTGGTGGTTCCTCCTCTAGGTGTAGATCTACCGTCCAGGTCACAAGTTGTGGCTGAACTTGACGTACTGGGCCACCTTAGGTAACTGGGTCAAGGCGTCATACAAGCTTAACGCAACGTATACTTTTAATTTGTAAATATTATCATTAAGTCATTTTATTATCTAAGAAACACTTACGTGGGCTGATTCATTTAAAGTATTCATGTAAAAAAAGTGTATTTAATAATATGTAGCACAGTGTTGCTGCACCATTTTCCTACAAATTTTGCCACACAGTGGGACTGAAATAAAACTGATTAGACTGACTGCTCAAATTCTCAACATTTTTGCAATAACTGAATAAATTCTTATATTGTCTCAATTAGAAAATATAAGGTTAAATAAATTTATATGATATTATAATAACATTTATTACAAAAAATACAGCAGTTTTATATCAGTCAGGCAGTAGTTCATTTATTATCCTTTATAATATTATAATAACATCTATATAATATTAAGCAGTAAAATGGCCACATCAGTTCCGTTTTTAATTCTTTTGAACATAGGATTCATCATTTATTCCGTATCAATAAGCAAGCAATTAAAAAATACAAAGAATGTTCTCTTTGCCTAAAATACGTAACAATTTTTTAGTGGCAAATTTAACCAAAACCCAAGTTAAGCTGACGGCACTGCTGAGCATGTGAAACATAATTTGACCTGCACTATTGAAGTGATATTTTGGATAAATTAAAAACAACACTATCCCAGTCTAGGTCCAATCAATCACCGTGGATTGTCTAAAATGAGGCCCGCAATTAGGACAAAGGATACTCATCCCCAGCAACCAGTGACGTCCTCAGAGACATCCTGTACAGCTGCTGCATGCTCAGAAACATAACAAACTTGTAGAGATTCACCGATTCACGGGCGGCCAGTTTAGCTGGTTGGGTGAGATGTCAAGCATTGAGATTGTTTAATTTGGTTGGTGTTATTGTAGAAAGGACAAGAGGTTTGCTGAAATAAATATCACTGCATCTTCTTGAAATAACGCACTAGCTTGGGTTGAGTTATCTAAACATTACATCATTTATAATAAAATGGAGAACGGTAATAAGACTAAGAAAACAGGATTCTGTGAAGATGTAGATTTTTTTCCCTGTCACATTAAACAGCTTTTAGCTTTTTTGTGCAGGCAATGCAAGTATTAACATATATAATAATTTATTTAAAATGCAAAAAAAATGTATACATTTCTCTGCTTTCAACAAATATGGTCACACCACTCACATTTCTCATGCTGGTCTTTACATAAAGCAAATCTTTCATTTTTTTCAATACATTCTATTGAGGAAGGGTTCTCAGTAAAAAATAGACAAGTCTGAAAGTACCTAGGGGAGAGAAACCAATTGAAAAGAGTAAATTCCTGGCATTACATACATTTATATAGTTTAAAGATCAAACAACTCTGATAACGGTAAGTGACTCCATATCATTGTCAAATAGAGAAGTGCCCCGCAACCCTTCCGGCACACCTAGACCTTTCCCAGATTTATGAGGCACACCACAATTAAAAGATGAAAAAAAACAAAAAAACAACGACCTGATTTACTATCATTTTCAAACACTAACATTTTAAATGTTTTTTTTTAAATTTTGTATCGTGGTTAAAAACACATGAACCAGTATATTCTTTATACCAAGCATTATAATATAAAATATTGTTCATATGCACCATAATATTCTTTATAAAAAGTTATGTAACATAAAAAATTGTGCTCATATTTTAGGGCAAATAACAATAGAACAACCAGCAATCAAAGTGAAAAGCATGGGATCAAAGGCCAAAGTGACAGAGAGATATTTTAATGGTGTGCTTGAGGCACACTGAGATGGTGAATTTGTCAAGTGACCAGCCAAATTGAAACATGCAAATGTGCTCTATGACTTCAAACATTTGACGGCTTGTTAAAAAGCCAATCCTTGTTCCTTTTGTTTCATTCAATTTTTTATTGTCTTTTGGGTTTTCATCCCCGTTGAGGAATTTTGCATGTGGCACACCTAGAATCGTCAAACGGAACACTGTTGTGTCTTTAGAGCATTTATATTAGGTGTGCATGCTTAAGATTCTCTCAAGAAAATATAGGATCACATATCAAAAAATATCAGATTGTATATGCAACCAGTTTAGGACAAAATTGACTCTTTTTATTGATCTACAAATTAAACTTAGGTAACAATCCAGATTCAGATGACTGTCAGTTTTATGTAGAAAACCATACTTGAATTTTCAATATTTGTAATCATATTTCATAAAATGAAAAAAATAATTTGACTTAGCTTTACTCACATCCATGCAAGGTCTTCTGAGAGATGAAGCTTGTTGCAAGCAATGTGCTGCCACATAGAGTAACTGTTGTGGAAATATTCAATATAATTAAACTGCAACAACTATTTATTTCAGTTTTTTTACTAAACAATTGTGTAACATATGTTAAAAATTACAGTATTTTTCAATTTCTCTATTTCCAGTATTTGAAATATATGGCTCTCTAGAGTCTAAATGCATGGATTAATCCAGCATTTATTTTATGGCTTTTAAAAAAATATTTTTGATAACTTAATCACAGCTAGGTATTTTAGTGTGTAAAATAAACTGTACCTGAGTCTTGGAAAACCGGCACTACCTTTATTTTTTGAGTATATAACAATCTTGCGAATATTCTGAAAAATCAAAGGACAAATTTATTTGTGAACACCAATTACAAATTGTTTATAACATATTACCCAGGATAAGATTTTGACATGTTTTACTTAATTTCTTTTTTTTCTGGAGCAGTAGTTTTCAACTATTTTCCTTTTATGACACAGTAGGTCTAATTATAAAATTAAACAACAAAATTTTAAGAAAAAATTGACTTTTTCTGGGATAAGCAGCTTATATGGAAACTATTATTACTACATCAGATTTATCATTTTCATATAATTTTATATTAAAATCCCTAAAATACCCTTTTACAAAAAAATATCTACATCTTCACATATGTCAAAATGGCACAAACCAGTTTTGTACTGGCACAAACCAGTTTTGTACTGGTCAGTAAACCAGTTATTTGCAAACTGATGTCCTAGAGAATTAATATTATGCTTATTTTAAGTGGTACAAATTACTTACCGTGCTGTTAAGCCGTGGATGAGGTGCTACAGGAATTGTACCATAGCTAAATGGCTCTGCTTTAACCCAAATAAGAACTGACTTGGCAGCCATTGACATTATTTATCCTATCTTTTGAAACAATTTCAAACAGGTTTCAGAGTACTGAATTATTTATTTTTCCGTCTTTTGATGAGTCGAGTGCTGTTTAAGTTTATTCATCTGCAAAAAAAATAAAAAGCAACACAAAAATAATAAATAAATAATTAAATGTATCTCATTAAGTTTTAGATTTGAAAGTTAGATTTAGTTAGGGTCAAATACAGTGAAGGCATTTTCTTATTTAAAAATTAAGACATCCCTACCATTCTTGAAAACACAGTGATGTTGGATTTTAAAGAATGTTAACAAGTCTGAGAATGACAGGATTTTCAAAATATATAAGAGTTTACATCTTAATCAATATAAATAAAGGCTATTTGTTATAACTAGGCCTTTGGCCCTTTGTCATTATATATTAAAATTAAATAGGCCTATTATAGAGCATAAATACTATTTTTTTTAAAGTAGGCCTAGTAATGGTAGGTGGAATCAACTTTAAATTAATTAATTTTTTTTTTATCATGTCTATATTATTAAATTATATTTTAAAATTTACTTAGATTTATTCAGATTTTCAAAGATTACAAAATATTAAAACTCTCTTAGTCAATTCTATTTTTCTGTGATGACGCCTGAGGGGTAATGACATCTTGAAATGGCATGCATTTAAGGAAAACAGGTACAGGTAAAATAACAATTTTAAAGTTATTCTGACTTAAAATGAATGGTATCACTAATCTTTAGGCCTAAATGATCTCTACTTGGTAAAAAAAAAAAACAGTACTAGACCAGGGGTCGGCGAACGACAGCCCACAGGCTAGATCCAGACGACAGCTTCAGTTTATTCGGTACAACACAAGTTTACCAAGTTAAATTAATAATATTGTTTTTATTTAAAAAATACTCAAAGTCAAAGGGAAAGCATTACAAAAAAAAAAAAAGCAAATAATATTTCATAATAATATCATAAGTGACATACGCCAGTGAAACTTGGACGGGACTTTAAAAAAACAACTGAAAACTTATTAAACACATTGAAGAGAAAAGTTATCCGAAATATATATATGAGCCAAAAAGGATGAATATAGAAAGTGAATTAAGAACCAACAAGGAATTGTATGGTGGTGAGGTTGGCCAAAGCCCTGCACCGACTGTAGTGCAACAGGAACCAATGGATTTACAATTTCATTTTCAACATCTTTATAAACAGTATTTATGCCCTTATCTACCCAATAGACTAAAGCAGACTCACCTTCTTGTTTTTATTCTCTAACAGAAATGTTTTACAAGTTAGTATAAATAATATGGAATATTCGTCCAAAAAAAAAAATATTTCCATAGTGAGTAAACCAATAAATGATGCTATCTAGTTAATTTATTAGCTTTTTTATTAATTGCAGTAATTTATATTTCAATGAAATGATAGTTCTTTTCATTTTATGTATGAACATGTCACTATGTAGTCATGTAGGTGTATGCTCAACAAGACTTGATTTAGCAGCAGCCATGGCCATAATTATAAAAGAGTTAAAGCTTTTAAAACAGTCACAATAATTGATCACTCAATTTACATATAATAAACATTTATAATATAGGGACCTATTAAAAAAATAAGCCTACCTACCAGCATACCCTACCACCAATTGTCCACTCACATTTGAGTTGACTGAGTGGCTGATCATTAAAATCAATGTCACATGGTTTTTTGTATACCTAAGACATACTACTAAGTGTAACTAAGAAGACTCACAAGACCTAGACATAGGTCTAGCTAGGTTCAGGTAGGTCTACGTCTAGGGCTAGGCAAACTAAACTAAAATTTAAAATTTTAAAAGGAGGCCTATTAATAAATAACATATGAATTATTATTTATAAGGGTAAAAAATCATTATAGAATTTATTTAGATTCTGTGTTAAAGATTGTGATCTAAATGATTTTTAAAACTATTCCTTATTTTGTAGACCTTTATGCCTTTAACTATAACGTTATAAGTTCCCACCCTTCGGAGCGTCCATTTGTAAACAGACGTTAAGGAAGTATGCGATTATCGATTACTTCTGACAAGTTACTCTTTAAAAAAAAAAAATTAAAAACATTAAAATTAAAAACATAGCCCGACTTTTCAAACAGAAGAAATTTAATTCATGGAATATTTTAAATTAAAGATTTTAAACGAAAAACATTTACAAAAACGGTTTACGAATTATTTTATCCATTATAAGAAAGGGAGAAAAAAATCCAGATAAAATAATAAACCAAACAATAAAAAGCCAAATAGCGCTCAGTGCCGCCTTAAGTATGAGTGGGCAGTAGCCAAGGCCAACGGTCTCGCGCTTCTGGAGGGGGCCTCACGCTTCTAGGGGCATCAAGTTGCCTATTCCTATATTTTTTAATTAATTTTGAAATATCTTTATGGATTTTAATTTTCTTTAAAAGTGCAGTGAAAAGCAGATTTCACAATGTTACTGTTATCTATTTTTTCGGTATTAAAATCAATTCGATTTTTTTTTTTTTGGGGGGGGGGGGG